TCAGCTGGAAGAATTTCCCTACTAAGCTAGTAAACTTGCTTGTATGCAATTTGGTTCAGGTCGTTTCAAATCCACAGCTCACTCTAATTTGAAGCATCCTAACAAAATAAAACAAATTAAAATCAACCCATTGCCATAGAATATTTACTTTTCATCAATCTTTCTTTTCCAAAAGAAAAATGGTTTGTCTGAAAGCTTCTCAGCTACCTCTTGAGAGCTGAACTTCACTCTTCAGGGAGCTGGAATGACTGACACAAGCTGACAGCTTGCCCAGCTAACTTGAGTGAATTCAGCATGCGCTGAAATTGGGAGCAGATATCACTAGCTCCGTCTGGATTTAGTCTGGGGCTGCGGTTAGATGTTCACTACAGAAACAGCAGTGTCACTATCAGATATTCCTGCCCTGGGGCTGCTTGTTGCAACCCCACAGCTCAGTTGGTGGAAAAGTTCGCATGACTCTGTACCATCTGCTTCAGTGCAAAGTCAGCTGGCTTACTTTAAAGAGCCCTTATTGTCAGCTAGAGGCAAATGCTCCACGGCCTTCTCCACAGGGCTGTGCCAAAACTACTTACATCAGGCTTGTAAACTGCCTGCAGTTACGTTTCTGACCTTCCCTTGAGACGTGGCCAAACATACTCCAAAGCTTTTTAAGAGATACAAACTAGGACAAACTAGGACAAAAATTAAGCTCTTGCTTATGAACCTAGCCAAATGTAGAAGGCAGTTCTGGGCTTCCTGACTTGAGGCAGCATTCTAGCATGCTATTCCCAAACAACGTAGGGCCTGCAAAATTTTTTAGACATACAGACACTTGAACAGGTAAACACTGTAGCGAGAAATACAAGGAGCTGCTATTACAACTTCAACTGCCAGACCATGGTAGATGAGATCTTGTTCGCAACAGATGTTGCTTAATTAACCACTGTGTTATCATACTGTAAAGCAATTCATTCATGCTTGTTAAAGTTCTTAAATACATACCATAAAAAAATGAAAGGCATTTGAAGTCAGAACTCACTTGGTATTAGCACAAGTCTAATTTTGCAAAAGTGACTGTTCCACATCTAATTATACAAATAGAAAAATCAATACCAAAACTGGCATGCACTAGAAAAGAACAGCTGCTCAATCCTGCATACTGTAATGTGATTATTTGTGAAGCATTCAAAAGTCATAGATCTAATCCAGGGTCACCTGTCTAAAATAGCTGTATTAGATCTGAAAACCTGTCACTCAGTGGAACTACAATAGTAGCAGAAAAGGAAACCAGCTTCATACTGTGAACTGTGCATAATGAGGATTCTTTTGAGCATGCTTTTGTCTTGTAGAATTACTGGTACGTCATTCCTTCATTTTGTGATACTTCTGTACTGTATGTATTCATCACTGTTTCTGCCACAGTCTAAAAGTAGTCTTCCCTACTATATTCTCACTTCTCTACCACCTCTGCATCACAGGTTTGTTTGTATATAAAACAAATGCGTCATGAGTTTCTCCCTCCAAGAGCCTCAAGCAATGGAGCTGGGTCTGGAATTGGTTTTCCTGTCCTCTAGTATTTTTTTATCATGTCAGGACACTTTTGCTCCAAAATATGATAGGAGTTGAAATCTTGATGCGGAAAAAAAAACCCCAAATGTTTAATTCAGACATCTCTGGTATCTTATGTTTTAATTTACAGAGCCTAAAATTACAATGAAATGCAAACCGGCATAAAACTATGTTTTGAAAAATGTCAAAATGTAACCTTTTGATCATCTGCCATTTTTTCCCCTACTTTCTCGTGGGAAAACTTGTCAAATTCACTCCCTTCACAAATGGTCATGTTTTTGACAAATTTGCTTGCTATGAGGAATATATGTCACGTACAAACTCTAACCAGTTGTACTCAGCGTGAAAATCAGGAGTCGAGTACAGCCTGAAAACTAACCCTGATGAGAAACCACTAATTTCAGTGCTAGAAAAATGTTTTCTTTGACTTCACACTTTTCACATGTAACAGGAAAGTAAGAAAGTATAAATTCCTGAGCTTGTCGTACCATTGTTGTTGCTTAAGAACGTATGGCACATGGTATTTACCTTTACTGGATTTTGGTTGTTCAGAGGAGCCGCCTCCAACCTTCCTCTTTTTCCTCGGAACAGCTGAATTTTTCCTGTCAAAGGTAATAGGACTGTATTGAGGGAGGCTGTTGAATTTCTTTTCAAATTCTTCTTCCAATTTTGCTAAGCTAAAGGGGAAACAAAACCAACCAAATTAAACGTAACTCCGTTTCTGGAGAAGAATAATATATTGTTTAGGAGCACGTGTGCGTATGTACATACCTATCTACACAGAGAAAGGGGGAAAGAGATAAGCGCACACACTGTAAACATCAGACTAGTATATATTAACCCAACTTTGGGATAGGAATGTACACTCCATCTTCTGCATTTCTAACTCAGTAGAAATTGATCATATTAGCTGCATATATTAAAATTAAGAAAAAAAAAAAAATCAGTGTCACACTGGTGACATTTAGCTCTGTTTGCTGAAGATTCGTAGAGGAGATATGCCTGTTCTGTGAGGGCAATAAAAAAAAGACAATAAAATCAATAAACAGACAAGCCAATAAAATAACTTCACATAGAAGTCCTTACAACCAGAACGAAAACAACAATTCAAACCACAATTCCAATCAGAAGAAAAATATTAAACTATTCAACCTTCTGGGCATATTCTAAAACCTGATGCTTTGGGCTGGGAATCAGCTTCGTATTTGTTCTGAGGGATTATATTTGCTCCCCTCATATTTTATTTGTTCCAAGACAAAAATGCAACTAGCTCATGCTTTCATGAAACCCAACACCCCTCATACCTCAGCCCAACCTGAATGACCGTAATTAGCTTTACCTGCAACTCAGGAAATCCACAGACATGGTGCTGTTGCTCCTAACAGCCAGATGAAAACAAATCACTCCAATGGGATGGTGTGGCATGGCATTGCTGGCTGTAGTGACTACGCTGTCTGCTAGAACAGCGTGCTTATACAAAATTTTTGCAGCCAGGCAGGAGTATAGGAAGGAATTGCATTTTAATGAAAGGCAATGTGCACAGCTAGGCAGATTATAAACAGCACCATCAATGACAGTGAAAAAACGACATTTTCTACTCGTCTTTAATTCTGTTTGCTGCGGAAAACCTGAGCTTGACAAAAGTTGGCATGACCGTTGGAGGAATGGCCCCTACGTACTGTACACTTGGAATTATCACAAGAAACCTGATGTTTCTCTCTGCTCTCTGAAGCAGCACTTAAAAACTTGCACCCTGAAAGTTTTGGTACACAGAATGATGCTTCATTTTATCTCTGTAATCATTACTCCTTAAGGTAAGCAATCTTCCATCTTAAAATACAGCCCTGGGTCTTGGCTGACTGGATGCATGGTGGGGTTTGTTTGTGTATGTGCATGTTTTGTTTTGTTTTTATATCACAAAGGTATCTGACATTAGTGGTGCTCAGTACTGCCACCTTTCTCTTTCATGCGGATATTGCCTAACAACCACAAGCCAATTCTCTGCTCTGACAGCCGTCATGCAATTCCACCCTCTGCCCCAGCTCCTCTCCCGCTGCCTCTTGCCACTTGCCTTGGCTCCTGCCCCAAGGGCACAGAAGAGGCTGGAGCTCTAATTAGCAAAGACCTACCCTGAAGTCAGACGAGCTGCCATCCTGGCAAGTAATTTATAGCCTGTGCGACACAGAGGCAGTGGAGAGTGCTATCACTATGCCAGCGATTAATTATTTAAAAAAATAAAATAATTCACATTGTCATGAATTTTCAGAGCATCTCACAAGCCTAGTTAGACACACGTAGCTAAGCTGAGGTCTTCATGCTGTACAGCCTCGTCCTGCCAGGAGATACGTGCAGGCAGAGCACTGCTCAGCAAAGGAGTGGGCTGCACATGGAGAAAGCACACTTGACAGGGACCACTGGGGAAGTGTGGGCAACTACTGATGGAGAAGAACGTAAGAGTACACGGGGAGAAAGACATTATTGCAAAGGGGTGAGGACCCTCCCCCCCTACACACACAAACAAAATGAGGCTGAAAGGTGATGCTGAAGGCAGCAGAGTTAGGAGGAGCAGGTACAGGTAAAACCAGCTCTTCAAGTAGCCAGAAGATGAAGTAGGTGCAATGAACAGGGGTAATGGATACCTTCTCCTGCACATACACTCCACAAATTACCGATTCTGCCTTTACAGAGTTCACTAGATAATATTCATTAATGACATGACTTAATCAAGACACAAGATGGGCAAATACGTATTTCTCCCATCCAACCAGCTAATTATGGGAGAACAGTTATTTGTTGAATGAATTATTTACACAACTTTCCTAGCTACTTTGAATAAATCATTCTTAACTACATTCTTCTTTTTCTAGGAGATGCATTCAGTTTTCACACCACTGTGCAGAAGTTTTCAACCTTTCAATTTAAATTTTGAAAATATGTACTAAACTTATGTACAATGCACTAAAAATACAAAAAGTGTTTCATTAATTTTTCTTGACTATTCCAAGCAAACAAGAATTGGAGATTTTCATCACTTTAACATCTTTGCTGTAAAGTGAGCTGCAGCTAAATTTCATGTAGGCTAGGTTATAAAAAAAGGCTACTGCAAGCCTGCACAAAAGAAACACATTACAATTTTAAGCATGAAGTGGGGAAAATTTACTCCTTTTTAATTCATTTTCACTCTCGGAATTCAGATAACTGGAAGTCTTCAAGAAATTGCAAGTTAAGTCTAAATGGCTAAGCAGATTAAACAACTACGTCTGCAGTTAAATATATCTGTCATACTCTGACAAAAATTGTTATTCATACACTAGACAAGTAATTGTGTGGCCTTGCTAAATTTTAATACATTTGTAATCATTCGTTATTCTTCTGATATATTTAATTTCTTCATGGTGTATAAAAACAGTTTAAATATCTTGTCTCTACAATGAAAAATTGTATATTTATCATAATTATTTGCCAATACTGGCACATTGTTTACTCTTCCTCTATAGGCAATCTCTCCAAGTGGGCAAAGAGATCTATTATTTTTAGTTGTACTTCTATTTATGCTGATTGAACGCCTACACAGAACTTTAAATACTGCTTCTGAAGTGCTCTGAAAATATAAGTAACCCTCTTCACCACCTCTTAAGCAGGTAAATATTGCACTTTTTTTTTTTTTTTTACAATTGAGCAAATAATGTCATTCAAATCTGTTTAAAGTAGTGTAAACCTGGAAAGATCTCAAAGGAATTACTTTTATATATAAAGAACAGGCATCTAGAGCATGACTCAGCCCAGTAGGGTTTCTAATTTTCAGGAATTCTGATTAATTGTCGTTATTTGGGTGTTGGATGCAGTTCACTTCGCTACAATGAGGAGGACTCACTCATAAGTTACCAGCTTGGCCTAACTAAAACTTTGAACAGTGTTAAGCCACAACTTACCCAAAAACAAACTCTTCCTTTGGCTTAGTTTTTTTCAGTTTTTTGTTCCCACTTGTCCCACTTTGGGAAAAAGCCCAGTTTTCTTCATTCCAGCATCCTTCATGATCTGAGGAGTTGCCTTTTCCTGAGCTTCTTTTTCCTAGGATGAAGTCAGAAAATTGTTTCTCATCTTTAGAAAAATATGCCAAAACAAAGTGACCTCAGAAGGAACTTGTGTACCTATTCAGTACTGCAACTTACGATCCCTGACCTTCTTGAAGGGGTTACAAAACATTTATTCATTTATTTTAAACTGGATAATGACAATATTGGCAACTGTTTGCTCCCACCAGGATTTATACTACCTCTAAAGTCAGAGGTAGTATATATCTCTCGAGGTATAAAGGAGGAAAAAGAGATGAGTAGATTTACAGTAATAAACTTCCCTAAATTACAAAACATATTTTTCTTTTCTGTTCTAATTACACATATAAATCTAATAATTAGAAAAATACATTTGAAGATATCTCATCGAAAGCTTCCAGAAATTATCTAAGTTTTTCCTTCCACAAGTTAAAGGGTTCTCTCTCACCACCTACAGCAAAACTAACAACTAAAGCAAAAACACAACACGTTTGCCTCTTGTAAGACTAAGAACCACGCTCACAACCACAAGAATTGTTTATACAGAAACAGGCTAATTGTTCACGGTTACATACAACACAAGCCCTGCATACGTCAATCAGCAGGCTGACAAATTAACCAACAAAGCCTTTTGTCAAAAAGCTGAATCTCAGATCAGGAGAGAAAAAAAGGAAGAGATTAAGAGCTTGTGAGTCAAGCAGAAACACAGATGGCAGGACTAGAGAAGACCTGCTTTGGACCCTGAAGTCCACCCCCTCCACCTGCCCCCAGCATCTTAGGTGACCAGACACAGCACTCCCATCACACACTGCTCAGACTCCAGCTTAAACACAGACTTCTGATCTTCCTCCCACTCCAGGCAGGCTTTTGTGGTTCATGCTGTAAATGAAACACTCAAAGCCACATACCTCTGTCCACGTTAGCGCGCAGAGATGTGAGCATGCCCTCTGACACCAGAGTTTTATAAAGAGCACCTTTGCAAGATCTTTCTGATTTCCTGGAGCCGCAGGTTTCTATCTTTTTAACACAGTCACTGTCCTCAGTTTTGACCTGTTCCGGTAAGCTTTGGGGTACCACCTCCTCTGTTGGGGTCAGTGGTTCCACTTTAATGTTACCAGAAGCCTCACAGGGTACCTCCTTGCTGGCTACAATACTAAGGAAATCGGGAGGCTTCGATTCTTTGGTGGTCTCTGGGGGTTTCTCCTTTGATATTTTCTTCTCTTTTGATTTCACTTTTTTCTTTGGTGATTTTGTATCCAACACACTTTCCTTCACATTTGGGACAGGGCGGGGTTTTTTGCGGGGCGTTTCCGCCAGTCTCTCAGCACCCCAGTCTCCCTTTGCAACGGCTTCAATTGTATACATTACACTTTCAATGTCCGACTCGGAGGACTGCCTCTTTTTACAGGGCTTCTTGGGGGTGGATTTTTCATTTGTGTGCCGGTCCAACTTATTTTTTTTCTTTTTCTTTTTTATCTTTTCTGGCTTTAGCCCGAGGATATTAATGTCAGCCATTGAAAACTCTGGACAATAGCACATGGGATCCTTTGTGTCATCATTTGTCTCAAAAGGATTGCTCTCCATTGCAAGACTAGTAAAATCTCTGCATTTTGCAGTTTCTGATTCCTCAGCTTTTGTCTCACCCTGGTTTTGCATTTTCTCTATCTCCAATTGTTCTGCTTTTCCTTTACAGGAGTCTTTAATTGTTGTTTTCTCCAGTTCTACTCCAATTTCCTCTGGAATGTCCCTTCCCACACCTTCTGACGCTTCCACTTTTGTTCTCCCAGGTTCTTTTACTGCTTCTGAAGCAAGGCACATCTAGAACGAGTTTAAAAATAATCCCATGAAACCACCATCAACTGTTAACATTACTTACCCATATGAACAAGAGCATTGCACAGGGAATCCCTCTGGCATCTTCATTCAGGAAAGCAAACTGTGCTAGAGGGCAGTACTGAGAACACAGTGAAGCCCTACGGAAACTGATGCGACATGATGATGGCTAAGAGCTAGAATAAGGCTGGTGGGTTCTACCGCTCTAATCGGAGAAGACTCCCAACAGACCTCAGTGGTGTTTTCATAATCCTTTTAAGTGCCTTTTACATAACCTAGAAACCCACTGCTAGACTGATTTGCAGAATACCCTAAGTGCAATGGAACAATATGGCATCTCTCACTATGCCCACAGACAAGTTACTTGAAATCTCACATCCATATCCCCTTCAGCTCCCAAATGTCCCCATATATAATTCTTTCCTCCGTTTTCCAAATGGCCCTCAATCTCAGTAATCAAAATTATCTTCTTTTACCTGAATGTGCAAAATAATTCAGAAGTTAGTAAAAAAGTCTTCCAAATCTTTCTTCTCATGTCACAGACTTACTTTGCAAAGAACTGCAAAGCAGTAGTGGTTGCCATGGTTATCTCCTCCTCATATGGTTTGAGGAACAGAGATATTCAAAAAAAGAACTGTAAAAAGCTCCTCCAGCTGCCATGTTCCTGCAGCACTGACTTGGGAGATCCTCTTGGTTTTGGATCACCTGCAAGCTACGCTGACACTGCTACAGAGGGTAGTCCTTCACAGCATCAAGTAGCTGCCCTTGGGAATATACGCTTTCTTCTTCTTACTCTCCCTCTCAAACCCCCCAAGCTGAATTCCCAGTGCTATTTTATTTTTAAAACAAATGTCAACCAAACAGCCACCTGGAGCAAAAGCAGATGAAAGAGGCTTGCTTTGAACCAGATGTCAGGAGTTTCCCTATCCCACAGCTCAGCCCATGGGCCATGTTGTCAGTATGGCTGTACCCTCCAGATCACTGGGTTCTCTTTAGGTCAGCTTTAGATTTCTCATATCGGCAAGGAATTTTTTCCTTGCCATCTAAAAATATCTCTTACACCAATATATGTATGAGCATAACACCAATGATAGAATGCTTTGTAGTAAGCTTCCAGAATTCTTGCTGCACAGGGTAGGAACTCCTGATCTGGCTCAGGTCAAGTGAGGATGAGCACTGGAAACACCAGAGCTTGGGCAGCACAGTGTCTATTAGCAAGCAGGTTAAATTATGCATGGGAGAACCCCACCACTATGCTGAGGTGGGCTCTTGGTACCAAGGTACATCGGTGACTTTTTTATTACATTGCAATGCAAACACAGCCTGTGATTTTCGAAAGCTAAAGATCAAACTTGAAAATGCAACTCATTGGACAGTAATAACAGTTTGTCAATTAAACACACACACCCCTTGCCAACTGACTCTTTTTTTTTCTTTATACCTTTGCTGCTTCTGCAGTAGCCAACAGTTCAGAGGGCTACGGGTGTAGCTACAAAAAAGCGACTTATGTTGTTTTGTGAGCTCTAAATAAACTTGCAATTCACAATCTTTAAGATTGGGAGAGCTTAAAAAAAGCAAGCTTAGAAACAAAAGAAATACAACATTTCAATAAGAGGCCATTGGTTTTAACTGTTCCCAGAAGGAGGACCTGCTGAGAGTATCACAGCAGAGTTTCCACAGAAGTTGTTGTTTATTCCCCACTTCAAAAAGCAGTAGGCAAAAATAAATGAAAGTAACTAACGAACTTTAAAGGGTATTTGTAATGGCAATGGCCTAATCTGAGTAACAGACTAACCCAGCCCTCTCTCTCCACTCCTTGTGTCTCCCTGGCCAAACCAAAGAGTCACAACCCCAAACCGTAGAACAAGGAATTGAAACAATTTCAATGGTGATTGGAAAGTCCCTTTCCCACCAGGGACTGCTACCTCTTCTCAGCTGCAGCACAGAATCTTAGAAACCTCGAACTGATGGCTAGTCTGGGGAAACCTTGACTTGTGGCACCCCAGCCATGATCATTTATGCTTCTATAAGCAACACTGTAATTAGAACCGTAGCACTGTTCTGCCTTCCAGACTTTGGCAAACAACATCATTAATTTCTCCGCCCCACTGCACCTGTGGTAATTAATCATCAGTATTTTGATATTACCTCTGCCAGCTGAAATAATGCGGATGTTCCACACTGCTTTGTTAAATCAGCAGGGCATGAATGCGATGTACTTGAGGAAATCTAAAGAAAAAAAGAAGGTGGAAAAAAGAAACATTATTTTACCAGCACAACTTATATTTTTACCACACAGCTTTTGAACAGATTATTTCCTCTCTTCCAAAAATTCATTTGTAAGATTATATACTGAAAAAGAAGTGCAGACCTGCACGTGCTGTTATAAACAAAACCCTGCTCCACCACTGATCTGGTGGATAATACCACTGGACACTAAAAGGTATTTGCAGATTTGGGGATCTTGTCAGGACTTTCTTCAAAGAGCAGGATGAACTGAAGCACATGCTCTCTCACACATAAACAGACTCCAGTGGCTAAGTACGAATCTACACCAGCATGCAACCCACCTATTGGTGGTGTTTTTTTAAGGTTTAGTTGGACATCTGATTGCAAAATCATTTCACTGTCATAGCTTAAGAAGGTTACTCCTGTCAGGCTATGGCACTGCCTGTTGGCGTCCTATTGGACTCCTATAAAAGAGATCCTATGAAACCACAGTGTAGCAGGAGCCCTCAAGCCTTCGGTAACCTTTACTACTCCTCTAGAGTATGGGAGGCTGTCTGGCAAGCAGGTAGCCGATTATTCTCCCAAATCTTTTTCCTGTATCATGTTGTGATTCTCTTCAATACTTTCGAGTGTTTTGTATCAGTTTTGAGCTAGGTGCAAAGAAATGATCTGTTTTCTAAAGAAATTTAAAGGATCAGTCTCAGGACTGGCCACTAGTATGAAGAAGAAAGTGTTCTGTTTTTAAGGACATACGCCATAATCTTGGTTCAGGTTTGCAGGTTTCTTATACCTGCTTCCTTAGAAAGAAGGCAAGTTCCAGGGACTGAGGAACTAAAGCATTCACAACCTTTCAGCTCCCCCTACCCTCCCAAACTTAGTTTTCACTGCTCTCAGCCAACACGGGCCCACAAAGTTGATTTTGCAGAAATCAACCCATTGTTGCCGTAAAGGAAACAGACAAAAAAGGTTAACCACACTATCTCTGTGTCTCCTGGAAGCTGCAGCTCTTCACAGCATCTCCCAAGCTCTGACCACTACAGCTCAAGTCCCCAGACGCCGCTTACAGCCAAACATTGCTTGTGCTGTTCGTACTCCGCGGCAGCAGTGGCGGCCTTGCCTTGTGGGGTGACGCGTGCTCCCACCACCGCCTCCCTTCAACCTCGTGCCTCCGCGCTGAAGGCTGAAGACAAAGCACGCATTTAGGCACAGCAAGAGGCTCAGCAGAGCAGAGCAGATCATCAACAGCCTCCCAGGCTTCAGACTGCAGAGCGACTGCTCCAACCATTTTTAGAAACTTTGAAATTCTCAGAATTTTTTAGAAAAATCGTTTAACCCACTTCTGCATTTTCTTTTATCACCATCTGTGAAATACTGTGAAATATCAGACAGGAAGGCATAGGGAAGGAGGGGAGGGGGAGGAAAGAAGATAAAATTGGTTAGTGTACATAGGAGAGAGACGAAAGAAGAGCCGAGCAGTGTGGTGTGCTGAAGCAGACAGGCCCTCAGGCGCCAGACCCCTGCCACGCCAGCAGCATGGAGACAGCAGTCCAGTCCCCTCCAGCACACAGCATCTGCGGTCTGGAGTTGCAGCAGCATGGCACAGATGTCTGCCAAGTGAACCTGCAAACTTAGGACACCCTCGAGGTGGTAATGAATACCCTTTATTTGGGATGCTCCAAACCAGGTCCTGAACTGCCATATGAAAAGTTAAACTGAATCTGTCATTTTATTTATCCAATTACAATCCGGTATTACAGAGATCTCAGAAATTGAAAAAAATCACTAGCACTAACATCCTACAACAGCCAGAGGCAAGAAGGATGTACTTAGCACAACTGCCATGCTTTTCTCAGTTTGAATCAGAGCCTTTAACATTCATTTTGTATATTAAATTAGGCTCGCAGGAATCCATTTGAGCAATCACTGAGAGAGAGATCACAGAAACCTGTCCAACGTGCAAACGTCAGGCTGCCAGACACAGCTTCACTTTTTCTGCCAACTGCAATACAAACTCTGCGCTCCTGTGGACAAGCACCTGTCCTTCCCCCAGATTAGGGCCTTCACAAGCTTCACAGTCACATCACAACTTCTAACGACGACTTCCAAAAGTCAGGCTGGGCTCAGCAACAGCCTCCCTCCGAACACCACTACTCAAAGGCTGCTGCTGTCCTGTAACAGAGGACACCTCAAAAACTTCTGGTGTCCTTGACTAAGTCTTCCAGGCCTTTCTGCTGTCTTGGGGTTGCAATAGTCAAACACCCTTACAGATCACTGACCACAGCCAGGTGTAATCACCCTTGCACAGGCACTGCTGACAGCATAGCACACGCCCACAAACTCTGCTGCTGTCAAGGACTGCCTGCAGGGTAAAGCAGGTTTTCTTCCACTCATTTAAATTCCTGTAAAGTCAGATAGTAGCATTACTATCCACAGACAAGACATAAAATACTTTTGTTTCAGTGCTCCCAATCTGTCTTTTTTTCCCCGAGAGGGATTAACCTCATTGGCAAGAATATATGGCTGGATGCCACTCGAGAGGATCCAGAGAACCATCTTCATCATGGAACTAGGAGGTGATTTTTTTTTGGGGGGGTGGGAAGCATACTAGTAGGGTGCTAGCATCCTCCCTTATTTACCCAGAATGCAGCATGTATCTTCATCTTTCAATTGTCAAGAGCAATATTTGCACATCAAGTCTCCAAGATTTTCAAGTGGTTCATACATCTCAAAGGGGAGACCTCTACAATATATATTTAAGACTCACAGAGAATTTCTAGGACTGCTGGGAAACCTGATCTAGTATTCTTCATTACTGCTGCTGCTGACAGCTGCTAATTTCAGAACTTAATACACTGCTTCAACCTCCAGCACTTCATACAGATTCCTTATGATCTCAAAGTCTACTTTTCTCTTCCTATTCTTGGTGCCGTTCAGCAATGCACCTTCCAGTCCTTCTATCAAAGCTTTACTTTTCTGAATCACGGTATTCAGCTCCTCATTAAGAACACTGTTGTCTCTTGACTTTGCTGTTGTCCTGAGCATTGTTTTTATTACAGTTACAAGACCATTTTTCTTAAAAAGAAGCATCATTTTTTCTGTGTGGTCTCCAAGAAACTATGCACATTAAGAAGTGTTTATGAAAAGCTAGGTCCCTTGGGCCACTGCAACTGTCTAATTCTCTTCTTACTCCATAATTTACTAATTTGTGCACCTGGAAATACTAAAATTGATGCTAGAGCAAACCTTATACAATTCATACGTTTCTGGGGAAAAGATACACACATCTTCCCACTGTGATGCCAACGGGTGTAACTTTACCTCTGCCAGCTGGAAGAGTGCCGACTTCCCACAGTGCTTTATTGGCTCAGACCTTGACAACTGGGAAGTATTTGATGAGATCTAGGTTTCAAATGAACAGAGGAGAAAATATTTCAGTGGGACACAGGAAAGACAGAAAGGAACAGAGAAAAAGAATGAAGAAGTAGTTAGTTGAATCAGTTACTTTTAGATCCATCTGGCAGAAAGCTGTACTTCAGACAGGCAATCCCATCCAAAAAACATTTAACATGCATTTAGAAGTCAGCAGGATACAAGCAAATACAGAATTTCTACCTTAGACTAGGCTCATGGATTCTTTTCTGTGTTTGTACCATCCACAGCTACTATTCTGTCGCTCCGCGTGGTTTATGTTTGTTTTATATGACTAAGTGATAAAGACATACCTGTTGCTTAAAAACATGAACTGTGCTGGTCAAGGTTAAAGAAAAATCTCCCAGAAAGCCTGGGCAGCATTTCCCATTTGGTTAGATATAGAGGAGGACCATTTGTCCTCACAGGCACTGGTTGTTTCACTTTCTTTAGTTAGAAAAAAAAAGACAACCTTATGCCTAGAGATCAAATCTAGCCTTCTAAACAGATGTTGGTGTGCCAGCACCAGCACTAAGTAAGTAACTACCACTGCACATCAGGGAATGGCTTTTGCAGCCAAATTTTTCCTGACCTGCTTCCAAGTGCAGCACTAACAGTTCACCAATGCAAGAATTAATCACTATTTCTCATGTTTGGTCATCTTTGGCATGGCATTACATGGTAGTATGTGACCTGGAAGCCTTGAAAAGCCCTAAGATTAGAGACAAGACCACCAGTGTTTCTGTGGCACCTAATCACAAAAATCACTCTGATGACCATGATCTTTCAGATGCCAAAATTATCAGCTTAGCCTTTCTCTTTACATTTAATGTCTTTCTTTTGAACTAGATTATTTGAAGAGTTTAGCTTTCAATCGTCAAGGACATTCACTACATACACACATAGCCCTACCCCACCAAAATTCAGAACACCCATTTTACTGCAAGCTATTTAAAATATGGTGACTGATACCTGAATGCGTACTATTAATAATTTTTAATATTAAACAAAAATAATTCAAAATCCTAGTTTTTGCTCTGATAATAGTTCAGTGAACCTGCTCAGGACTCCACCGGAGTTAAGCGGGTCTTCTTCACAGGAAGAGGGCCTCAACTTTTTATCTTTCTACCGTTCTAAATTCTCAGCTCAATGATTTTTTCAGTGCAATATGAATGGCAGAAAAGGGACAGAAAAACACTCACACACATAAGTATAACCTGAGAACATGCAGGCATATCTTGCCTTCCTGATGTACAATGTGAGGAAAGAGTAAGGAATTTTGTTTTAACAAGAGAATGGGTGCTCGTAACAAAATGCAAGCAAGATCCTTGTAGTACTAATAGAAAGAAAGGAAGCCAACATTTCACTTCAGCAAAAAATTTCTCTTCATAGTCAAGAAAACAAACAGCAAGAGACAAACTTAGAACTCATTCTGCTGAAGTTGCTGGCCAAACACCTGAAGTAAGAGGATGGCTGATCCATCAGCTCTCAACGAGATGAGAGATCTCATTCCCCATCTTAACACCACTTTCCAGCTTTAATTAGAATAATCAGAATAATCAGAACCTGCAGTACTACAACCACAAATAGCCCTTTCTTACGTAGAGGTTTAACTTGAGGATCATTACGACCAAATTATTATCTTTTATTACAATGCATGTCAGCATTTTAGCTACTGTATTACATTCTAGTTTGCATAAGAAGCATGTGCCATGGTACCACTTTTTCATCTCCCTCCTAGAATACACATTTAATTTCAACACAGATATTAAATAATTGCAGTATATAGGCAAACAGCAAATGTTTGTCTATCTTATGTAACGGCTTTACCTGGGAAGATTACAGCTTTATCTAGGGGAAATCTGGAAGAGAAAATGCTGACTAGTCTCATGCCACCGATTTCAAGGCATTTTGACCAAAATTTTTTGATTCAAAAATTCCTGTTCAGCATGGAAATAAACAGAAAGAGTTGCCTGCAAGCCAGCTCAGAGTGCGTATGTGAGAATACAGCAGGGACAAAATCATCCTCAAGCATGCATTTTTCTTCAATAATAGTAACCTGCTGGACTAGCGAAGAAAATTCCACCTTGTTGCATGCTGCATGCGATTGCTTTTTTGATTAAGTCACCTAGAGAAAACTTCAGAAAAGCAGCTCGAAGTGAAGAGTTTGTGGGTTTTGGCTTCATCTTGTTTTTAAGATGGGTAAACTTGCAGTTATATTGCTTCCACTCTCAGGAAGCATTTTCTTTGTTTAGTAACAGATGAGAGTTTAGCTAAGTAAATCTAAGAGGTATTTGTGTTTCTTCTCCATGAAGCAGCCATCACCATCTGTTCGCATTTGCCAAACACGCATCCAGTAAGACCAAGAGAGCAAGGGGTCCCATCTGCTCTGCTTCCCTCACATGGCAATGAGGATGACGACAACCAGCCCATGTGAGCAGACAGCTTGCAAACAGCCACCGCACCAAGGAACACAGCCCACTGCTCAGAAATCACTGGCCTATATAAGGGCTTTCCATGAAGGTACAAACGAGAAGGACAAAAGTAGGGCCAAGTATTTCCAAGATCAGAGCAGAATGAGAAAGCCAAGCGTGTAACTTGGCAACACTCCAAAATTTCAAAACACTCTTGTGAGAACGTCACACCATCTTCAAAGACCTCCAAGGCGCTTGCTGCAACACCTGCAGGACCCAACGAATTACTCCCGTGATTTTCGTTATCTGTTGTGACAAGTCATTGGGCAGGCCTCATTAGCCATATCCTCAATAGATTTAATTGAAGACTACAGCACTTGGAACAGACAAACAGATGAAAGGCTAACCAAGGCTGTAAAGAAGAAAGAATCCCATGCTGTGTCTACATCCACTGAGCTGTTTCTGAGTGACAGGGGACTTGTACTCCTGGGGTAAAGGTGTCCATTTTAAATGGCAAGTCTACTCAATGGATCGCTGTCTTCACAAAGAGGAGGCACTCTTATTCACCCTGCTGCAAAGGCGGCGAAGAGAAAGGGAACATATGAAGAACACCCAGCCAGAACCAAAACTGAGCTGGGACAGTTGCCAAAAGTCTCCAGGCACATCAGACCACAGCACACTTCGCATTTCTTCACAGGTCTACTTGGCTACTGGCTAAATGACTACTTTCTCTCCCTCTCTCTTTTCTTTTGTAGCACTGTACGTTGCTGACAGCAGCCTACTGCAAATTGCTTACCACTTGTCGCCTTCGTTGGCGTGGCGACCCCATAACTTAGCTTACTAAATGCAGTAACAAGTTCATATAGACAGGACCCAGTAAGAAGTCGCACTGTAAGGAATGGGATTTTTGCCAAACTTGACAAAGACACCCTGTGCAAATGAAAGCCCTTAGATTTGAAAGAGCACAAGTTGCTTTAATAGCGGGGGGAGAAGGCTTAAAGAGGTTCTGTGGCATGCTCAATACTTTCTCCTAGAACAACCTAAATGAAATCAGGCTGCAGTCTTAAAAAAAAAATGCCATTTCTCTATTGCTATAGAAAAAACCTGGTGTTAGTCACTGCCATTAAGGTTTCACAACAACAGTATAACAAGAGGAATAACGATGGCCAATAAGGCTTGGTTTTTTTTTTGTTTGTTTGTTTTGTTTTGCTGTTTGCTTTTCCAGGTTTCTGTCCCTTACTACCAGACACTGAAAAAACAACCAAAAAATACAACCCCCTCCAGATTGCATGTATTTTTACAAGATAGAGATTATTAACACTGATTTAAAAACTGTCCTCTCCAGCTTCTAAGCACCTCTTCTACCTAACATTTTATGATTCATACATGCACTCCAATGTGCCAGATGAGCTGGCTCAGGGTAGTGCTATGCAACTCAATGCACTGTCACATCCGTATGACAATTCTCAGGTTTGTCATCTTGTTGTTTGTTCAATTAGGAGAGGAAATGATTTTAGTTTCTGTGAAATTTTGAGAAGTATGGCTAAGTCACATTTTACATGACAATTTGGAAATGCTGTACTAAAGGCAATTCATACCCTATTCAACTCTGCAGATACCGAAAATTGCTGTTTAATTAAAATGTAAGATGGCTAAGATTTTTTTGAAACTAAGTTAGCAGATTCACTCATGCAGTATTTTGCAGTAAAAATTCACAAGAAATGTTCTCCAGCTTGTATCTTTTACTTGGTTTAACAGGTTGGCTTCAGCACATGGCTTCATCCTACCTAATTCCACTAATTTTCTCAAAAGAACTTTCCAAATTCACTCGTAACTTTAAAAAAAGGTGGCACATATGAAAACATCCTCACGATTAGAGATATCAACTCTAACATATCTTTTATAGGGGTGTTTTGCAGTCATGTATTGTATGGCACCCGAATCAGTAAATTGTTTTTTCTTAGCTGGACCTCATAAGAAATCGAGGCCCACCCTAGCCAAGCTAAAAACACTACACAATTAGCTTAACATTTAACAGAAAGAAACGTGTTGTATGTAGTGAAACCTCTGTAAACACACAAGAATAACAAACAGGGTATCTTTTCATCCTTTTATGTTCCTCCACGACAGCACCAGCTCGATTTCCCCATCTCTTCAGACACATCCTGAATATACTTTTAGTATGTAACTGATTCTGCAAGCAGTACCAGACTCCCCCAAACGGGCAAGAAGAGTATATGTGTGGAAAGTCAATTAACAGAGATACCTTAAACACACAGGAGAAGAAATTCTTACAAGCAATCCTTAAGAACTCCAAATCTTCAATACGTGGAGGAAGATGGATAGCTTATGTACTTAGGGGTAAGTTGTAGGCTTTATAAGTCATCACCTAACAATGCTGTTACATGTCCTTGTAGCTGTTGTGATAAGCTTCCTCTGACCTGCAAGTTTATTTTCCAAAGCATTCCTGCCTCTAAGGCAGTTGCTACACTGCACTGCTGCAGCCTCTTCCATAGACAGTACACATAGTGTCATTTCAGAATGTCTTGTCTTTGTTTTTTTCCTAGATGTAAATTAAAAGGCCATTTGGAAAAAAAAGTCTGCAGTAGTCCTTTGGTATAAAAGGCCAGGTAATGTTCACAAGCCCAGTACCTTTTGTGCATGCTACAGCTGGTAGGATTGGTCAATGTCTCTTCAAATCACTAGTCATTTCCCCCACGATTTTCTTTACACAATGCTGTCATGAATATAAACATCTGCTGATGGGAATCCCTTCTGAGACAGGGTGCTCAGCCATTCAGCGAGGACTCCTACTGGTTCCTTGCTTCCTCCCATCCTCCCCTCCCACATTTCAGCCATTATACCTCAGCAAACTGAAACAAGGCAGACTCCTCAGTTTGTTTTACAGCTCCTGGGACTCCAGGCTGTGATGTGCTTGAAGAGATCTGTCAGGAAAACAATTATTTCTGTATTACCTAACTCTTCAGTTTCAACATCAAACGTCAACACCCTAAATTTCTGATCCCTCACACAGAGAGACTCCTAATACTAAGAGCATGCAAACCAGTCCCAGCATACCCGTAAAAGAACAGTATCTGCTTTCCAGGTAACACATACATGGGTGATTCGTGAAATGGTGATCCTGAACTACTTTTCACAAGGAAAATATCTCCTATGATCAACAGGACAGGCTAAGACTTTTTTGAGGGGCTTTTATTTACTTTCTGATATGTCAAAAGAGGGTTGGCAGCAAAAACTTAATGCTATACTGTATTTCACAGTTCAGTAAAAGATGTGAGACTGCTCAATGGTGGTGCTGACAGCACCAATTGCTACTTAGCAGCGAAGATAAGGGTGGACAGGGACACAACACATGCGGGTACTCTAGGAAGAGATATCAGATCCATCCCAGACATCAAGGGAACTGCATTTTATAGTGTTTAACTTGTGTCAGTTATTTTTGTTGCAAACGACACCTCTGATTAATGTTAAACCTTGGTAGAAGTATCAATTATTTTGTCATTGACACACATACATGCACTGGTTAGATGCAGCCTCACTACAGGCTGTTTAACATCCTTGAAAATTAAGACTAGCTACTGGGGAAGACAACCCTTTTTAAAGAAACCCACCTCTGCAAACTGAAACAACGATGACTTCTGACAGGCTTCTGTAGAATTAGTTGCATCAGACGGGCAAGTACTCGGGGAAACCTGAAACAAGGAATGTGCAGAGTAAAACCTCAAAGGTGATTCTTTCAAGCTAAGAACAACAATAAGCAAAATGAAATACCAGGCAGCAATAACAAGAAGTAACATTTAAGAGAAGACAGGCAATCTAATATTTCACAGTCCTGGACATGTTAAATCACTTTTATAGATGAAAACATAGTTTAGCAGCCATTTTAATCCATTCCAAATCATCTACGAAGAAAGATCGCAAAAATAGCATGGATTTTTTTTTTTCTTCTATAATTCCAAACTTTGCAAAAGAGTTTTATGCAACGGAATACTAAACTGATGATACTGGGCTCCACACACAACTACCTTGTACTGGTGATGCAATCAACAGTGCTCTATCTGTAATTTGTACTACCATTCTGAATAAAAAAATTACTTTTTTAGAAACTAAAAAAAAATAATTTCTGAAGACACAGAGCTGCTAAGCGACAGAAATACTTCTTAGAAAAATAATCCTCCATCACCTACCAGCATGAAAAGAAGTAGTTAAGGGTACCACAAGCCTAAAATTGTTCAAATAATGTTCCTAAACATCCATTTAGGAGTGCTTATGAGAAGCTGTGCAAGAAAGAGTCATAACTTCTGAAATCAGAATACAAAGAAACCACTGTTCAAAAACTACAGCCTTATTTGAATTAATACAGAGCTTAGCCATACTACTATTCTTAGCCAGAAATGCATTAAGCATCATTCTATACAGGAATTGTATCAAACATGTCACATTTGAGTGTAAAAGATTTACATGTGTAACTCCTAGAAGCATGAGGTACTGTTAGAATAAAATAAAGTATGTAACATGGCTTACAGGAAACAGAAGAATGGAATGAGGCTTTGTGGGATTTCAGGAAGAGTAATGGGATGGCAATTTTTTTTCCCCTAACAACTTTTAATTTTTCCATGAAATCTCAGTTTATTTAAAACATTTTGATGCAAATGTGCTTTTTCTCTTACTTATTACCAAAACAAGTACACAAATAGCAGTTATTAGCGAATGCACACATGAGATTTAGCCAGCAACTGCATCTGTTGCCTGTAAGCACAAAGCACCACAGAATAGCCAGGCCTACAGCACATGTGGTTTGCACTGCTGCTCCTGCTGCTGTTTGTCCAAGATGCTTAAGCAGTGCAGCAGCACCCGTGGCATTTGTTTCAGGAACCTGCTCTCCATACTCCCCTGAAAACACCAGATCCAAGTGTAGCAGCCCACACACCAAGGGAAGCTACATCACATGACAATTTGCTTACATACACAGTCGAACTCGTTTCTTCCCTGCCATCAAACCAAGCAGTCACAGTGCCTCCTATGTTCTCTGCTTCCGTTATGTTTACTAAACACCAAGCAGGATATTTTATCAGCGTACTATGGCGGTATACCAACCCAACGGGTTATAAAGAATGTATTTTTAATGCTTGTCCTGCGCGTTTTCAATGCTTTGTGTTACTGTTTTCATTGATGTAATGTTTATTGCTGCTTTTCTCACGTTTCTGTACAATGTTTAAGCTGTCTGTGCCTCAGCAGTGGTGCTGATTGCTCCAGGGACACACACCGATCTTACTGCTGTTGAGTGACCCGTCTCTAAAGGTCTGAGTCTCTGCACTGGTGTGAAATATAGAAGGATGTTGCTTCCATGTCTGAGCACTCCTTTGGTTGTTTCAGACCACTTCACTGGTAGAATTCTCCCAGAAATAACCAAATTTGGGATTTGGTTCCCCATATAACTGAAATTTTCTGCAATTTGACCAGCTGTCTGACGTAGTTTAGTTTGTGGTGTCTGTCAAAGCAGTTTGCTCACCAGCAGCACCTATCCAACATGCCATATGAGAGAGCACCACTTTGCTGAGGAGGAGCAACACGAACGAGGAATCCATGTGAAACTGCTCCGCTCCCCGAGGCTGGCGCTGCCCAAACCCTGCCCAGCCGTCGCAACGCGGACCATGGCTTCACAGCTCCTCCGCCTACGCTGGGGCATGCCCCTGCACCCCGGTGCACACCAGACCAGTGCCACGCTGGAGTGGAGAAGCCTGGGAGGGAGGACGAGGCCTCTCCTCGCCCCCCAGGCCATGCACTGGGGCCTGCCCACCCTGCAGGACGCAGGCGCGGCAGGAGGCTTGAAGCCGGGCTTCCTGCAGCTCGGTGTGTAACGGACAGATTGTCAGCACCCAGCAACTCAGAGGCGACTCTGTGGCTAGAACAACCACACTTTTCCTATCAATTTCCACTATCTTTAAGAAGTTTATGCTGTTGCCTTTGCCTGACAGAAGCACTAATTTGAGTTTGTTTCTCCCATGCTGCTGCTCCCCACACACTCCTGACTTGCCCCTCCCTACAAGGCCATTGAGGGGCTGGAGTGTGTCCAGAGAAGGGCAACGAGGCTGGTGAAGGGTCTGGAGAACAAGTCTGATGAGGTGCGGCTGAGGGAGCTGGGGCTGTTTAGTCTGGAGAGGAGGAGGCTGAGGGGGGACCTTCTTGCTCTCTACAACTACCTGAAAGGAGGCTGCAGTGAGGCAGGTGTTGGTCTCTTCTCCCAGGTAACCAGCAACAGGACAAGAGGCAATGGCCTCAAGTTGCATCAGAGGAGGTTTAGATTGGATATTAGGAAAAATTTCTTTACCAAAAGGGTTGTCAAGTACTAGAACAGGCTGTCCAGGGAAGTGGTGGAGTCACCATCCCTGGAGGTACTTCAAAGATGTGCCGATGTGGTGCTCAGGGACATGATTTAGTGGTGGAATGGTGGTGTTGGGGTGATGGCTGGACTTGATGATCCTAAGAGGTCTTTCCCAACCTATGATTCTATGATCTCCAGGATTTCTAACCTCCGCCAGGCCGAACCTGATCAAAGCCTTAAAACAATTACTGGAGGGAGTGGATGCACACATAGTGCCACTGCATACACCTCATTTCCTGCCGTAACAAAACATCCTCAATGTCTCCTCATCTCTTCTCCTCTTCCCTCCTCCCAGCTTAGCCTCAGCTGCACCAAGATATTTTTCACTTACAATTTACACCCTGGGCAACACCACCCTGTGCAGACCCGGCATCGCACGCAAGGTAACCTTTTGTTCTCACAGAGACGGCAGCCACACGGGTATGGCCTCCGCAGCCTCCCTCTCCCAGCAGGCTGCCGTAACACGCTCCGAAACGGATCCGCCGAACGAAGGCGAAGGACAGCCCCTGGCTCCCCACCTTCCGCACTGACCGAGGCAAGGCTTCAATGTCCTCCCGACGTGCCGGGCAGTGGCAAGGGGGGAAGATGGTGAAGAGCGAGGTTGTGGGCTACGTGACGAATTCCGGGATTCCCGGGCAGTCACCTACAGGCAGGCCACTAGGTGCTGCTGTAAGGCAGGCGACGGGCCCGACCGGCGAGCAAGGGAGATCTGCAGGGGAGCAACGAGCGCTCCGCACCCGGCGGCAGCCTTTCTGCTCACTAACCTGCTGTGGGGACAAGGTCCGCCCAGCACAGCAACAGCAGCTGCAGCAGACCCGCACAGCGTTTCTGCTTCGGGGGTTCACTAAAACACGCTCATATACACACCACAGTCTGGTGTAACTGATGAGAGGGGACCCAGAAGCCAGGTGGAAACCCACTGCATGTCCAAGTCCTTTGTTTACTGCTGGTAAGGTATGTGGCTTCTCCTGCCTATCTGCTTAGTAACTCCAGCCGCTGCTTGGAAATCAATCATGTACCAACACAGAGTTATCTGTTCTCAAACTCTCTAGTCTGTTGTAAAAAACTACAAAAATAGAAGATAGCTGGCAGCGTACGGAGATGGCAACTGAAGCCTCAATGCATTTTCGTAAATATCTCTGTTGTGCCTCTTCCCAATCTCCCGCTGGTGCCTGTTCACTTTGTTACCTGACATCTGGGCTCTGAGAACTCAAACGTTAAACACCTGACTTGGAAAGTCCCTATACGTTCATTTAACATACACTTGACAGAAAATCAGCAGGTGTTGAATACTTTTACATGGGATTAGCAGACCTCCAAGTATCATTTCCCTCATCTCCTCCCGAGTTCTGAGAAAACTATACCAGTGCTGCCCTCCTTTCTATTAACAATGTTTAAGATGATAACAGTATTTAAAACCTATGTCTACAAGGCCACCCAAGTCTGCATAATCATAAATATGCACAAGCAATCAAACTGCACATTCACAGGTAATCTCATGTCTGGCAGTTCCCCAGCTTAAGAACCATATACATGCACATGTATCTCAGATGTACACACACATGCTTTAACAATAATGAAGACTACATGACACCATTTAGAGCATTCTTTTAAAGATGACACTGCATTTGTCCTTTTTTCTTTTAAATAGAAATGCTAGGGGTTTAGATATATGACATATTTATATACTGATATGCATATAAAAACAATACCTATGTTCTCCATAATTAAGCAACTTCTGAACCTCTTCACTGACAATACCTCAGCAGGCACCTTAGTATACTAAATTGTCCCCCACACAAATACCAGGTCTAACACAACACAACTAACAGCCCCTCCACTGAAAACAAAAGCAGCTTACCAATTCTACAATGAATTCTTGCGCTTCGTTCTGAGCCTGTCATATCACCTCCTAGCATGTTCTCTTAACCTCCCAAGCACTGGCTGGGGTGTGAAACTGTTTTCAAGCGTAAGCAAGGAAATCAAACCACAGATTATTCATAGGCATCCAAAGATGAACATCTTACTCCTCCTCTGTCCGCACGCCTGAGCATGGGAAGCCAGGAATCCTGTTCAGTTATCCGAGTCCAAATAGGTTTAGGATCTTTACTGCACTTGGGGAAGCATAAGCCTAAGAAACATTTGCTCCATATCTAATGATGACCACTGATGCTGAATCGAAAGTAAACAAAGGAAAATGGAAGACGCACCAGGGCTGCCATGCAAAGAAACTGAGGAATTTTCCCAGGGCACAGGGAAACAGCTACAGACTTAATTACTGCTGACACGCAGTTAGCAGAACTAAACTTCATCCATTTGGGTCCCTTTGAGAATACCAAGCACCCAGATTGTTCTGGAGGAATGTATTTTACATAGGGGACATAGTAAGCACAGGCTACTTTCTGGTCCATCATGATTCTAACAACAGCCAACAAATCCCTCAACTAATTTTGTTCAGGCTGTATTTATAACAAGTATTTTGCTCTATATTTTGGGGGAAAGCAGATTACACAGCTTGCCTCTGATGTGGAGGGCCAGGTTTCAAAAGAAGACTACAGGTCCAAAAGAGCACAGCATAGTATAGCTTACACATAACATAAATATTACATCAAAAGCCATACTGTATACTTTTACCAGAAAAAACGGGGTTTATGTAGGCACATGGGAAATGTCTCTTGCGCAAAAAAAGAGAGTCCTGATTAAAAAAAATGTTCCTATACTTAAACAATCACGCAACATCCTTTCTGATGTGTCTCTAAATCCACATGTAAATTTTATTCCTTCACTGCTATCTGAAATTGTACTACTTGAGGCACTTTTCATGTAAAATCAAGAAAGCTCAACTCACAAGGTCATAGCAAAGACCCCTCTTAATTGAACTGAGTATCTGTGACTACAAAACACCTTCCCTCTCATTTAAATGTAACAGAACAGTAAAAACAGTTTTTGAACTCCAAGTTGAGAGAGTCGAAGTTTGAAAACTACAGGACATTTATTTTAGCACAAAATAATTCGTTATCACTTCTCTGCCAACCTTACCCTAGTAAGTTTCTTAGTTTTCATCCTGTGGCACAGAAAGCCAGCACCCACATCTGCACAAAGGCTTCCACTGCTCAAACTAGTGTGCAAAGCATTGAGGAGTCCTGGCTCAGTCTTGGCAGTACAGGAGCAATCAACCTAAAATGCACTACACATTTTGCATTTGGGAGTATCACATATAGATAGTTAACCATTGCTTTTCCTCCCAGTAACAAAAAAAAGAAAAAAAGAAAAGAAAAAAAGAAAAGAAAAAAGAAACCCTCCTCAATTCCACTGCTCTTCTTTCCTGGCTAGAGATTTATGACAGTGATTACCTATTTCATCCAACATACAAGCCACCTTTTGAACACTTTTCAAAGCTGCCCACAAAACAGATCATAAATAACAATCAGTCTAAAGAAAGACCAGAGGTCTTGACACTACTAGAGATATGCAGGAACACTTATTTACCAGACTCCTTCATAAAAACAAAATGTTTGTGATAGCAACTGAACTACAAACTATACACACTTCGTGAATAGGAGTAGACCGCAATACTTTGCTTACCTGTCAGCACTTGCATGGTTTCAGAATGCATCTACAATGACGCTGACTGTATGGAAATCATTAGGTATTTATTTTGCTATTAGAGCCAAGGCTACTTGTTGTGTGAGGCATTGCACAAGCATATGAAAACCTTGTTCGAAAGACCCTGCAAACCACCTGTTTAATCACTGTCACTGTATTTCAATCTTACTGCCTGTGACAATATCCTCTCATGGGGCAGACTTGCCTGCTCTGATCAAATGTTCAGCCAGCAGAGTTAATACTGAACGGGTATAAAAACTAGGCCCAACCTCTACATTCATGGTTGGGATGCAAGACACATATCACAGGGCTCACACTTCAGTCCCACCTGAGGTTACCCAAAATGTATCTCAAATTTCATTTCCCACTGGTCTAACATTCCTCTTCAGAGCTCTCTTTAAACTGAGGGCTCGTGGTAAGGGAGAGAAAAAAGTTTCTTACCTCTTGTGCAGTGAGGGCATGTTCCCCTGCTAGCAGCAGCATGCTCAGGCCCCCCATTTGTGTAGGATCTGTTAAAAGAGTAAAACCAAGTCTTAAGTTTATTCATTTGCCTGTTTAAAGAACCTACCATTTGCAGCATTAAACCCCCAGAAGACTACTTGTCACAGACACTCTAAGCAAGCTGCCATAAAAGGCAGTTCAAGAGAATCACAAATAACCATTTCTGCACCCTCTGGGAGAGGCTTTCAAAGCTGTTCGAAGGATTTAATTGGATTTGTATGCTTAACACCCCATTGCGTGGATTTACAATTTTACTGCCAAAAGTTTTATGTACTACAGAGATGGATATCTTTAAAACAGCAATGGTAATGATCTCATACATAAATACACACAAACACGCTCAAATACAGCATGTGTTCATCACCCAATGGATGCTCCTGCTGAGGGAGTGGTTCCCTTCCTTGGCCACTGAACAAGTAAAAGGATGGAACAAAATGACACGATCAAGTTCTGAAGCGAAATGTCTATTTTCATTTAGCTTTAATTTAGAGCTGCATTTTGTGGTGAGAAGTGCCAGCCCGACAGCTCTGAAGCATGAAGCGCTTGATTTTCTGTGCCAGAACAGCGCAGGCACTGGCCAGGCAAGCTGCCTGCCTATTGTTGCCCTGCCAATACAATATATAATTGAGGAAAGTAAAATGGAGATATAAATGTTCTTTCTCCAAGTATTTGATGCTGACAGTTTCTCGCCTCCAGCTTTCCCGCACCTCAGGAGCTTGGAAAACGACAAGAAGCAAAAGCAACGAACTCTGGCACTGCATTACTCACAGAGTGGCTTTTCCACTCAGAACAGTGGTTGCCCTTCATCATGATGAAGACTAATTTTCTGATTTTGGGGGAGTGCCTTGGAAGCAATGCAGGTGCCCAATTGAGTGTCATGTAGAGAGGGGGAGACCATCTGTGACCCAAAGTCTTACACAACAGCCACAATGTGAGAGAAAAGGAAGCATTATCCTTGCTGTACTGATGAGACACCAAGCTCAGTAATGCTAAGACATCAAAGGTAAGTAACTTTCCCCAGGTTTCACTAAGCGTGCACTCACGTTTTCCAATTTTCTTTCACTAAACTGAATAAAAACTTCCTACAACAATAAATTATCTGTGTCTAGGACCACTCCCTGGAACAGAAGCCAACTGTCACAATTATCCTTGTCCATTTGGTTGTATTTTGTTATGCAAAATTTGGATGCAGAATAGCTGCATCCAAAATGCCCACTGGGAAATCCCTTGGCCCATTCCCACTCACGAGTAGTGCTGAGGAAACTGTTGAGTTTTTTAGCTGACATGGGCCAAACCTGTGCCTGTAAAAGGATTTAGTGCTACAGATGATCAAGGTCCAGTTCACAGGAATACTCACTGGTGCTGTTTCATTCAATACCACAGACGCTGCCGAAAGTCTCCCTCAGACAGCATCTTGCACTGACATTCACAGGGTAAGTTTTTTCAATACTCTCTTAAAACAGCAGTAAATAGAAGCAGAGGAAAGCAATGTGAATAAACCAGGCTCATCCTCTATCTCAAGGATAGAAGAATGGCTCTTTACCTTAAGAACACAGCCTAAATAGCATCTGGCTTCAAACTCAATATTTGACTGGAATTAATTTTTAAGAAGGTGTGTGGGTTTTTGTTGTTTAATTTTTTTAAATAAGTTTTTATTTTTAAATAAAAAAGGAACAAAAGATACTAAATTTCTACAAAGAGACAAGGCACCATCAGAAGTGTAGGATCTACTAACAAGAAGTAGTCAAAAATGAAGACAGAAAATGGGAAGGGCCAGGAAGTACCTAAGCACAATTCAGAAGTGAAGCAATCCTGTCAGCACAGCACTTTCTGCCATCAAAATATTTGATCAGAAACCCTTCAGTCCTTCAAACAAGAGGACATCAGAGCAATTAAATAGTGACAAGTGAATACGTATCTTGAAAGATAATGCCTGAGCAGGCAGTTAATTTGGAGGAAGGAGAGATGGGATCACAGACTTACTGAGTCCCATATTAAACAGTAAGGGCTCGGCTGGTTGCTTTCTACTTTCTTTATTCCCATTGGAAGGCTGTTGCTGAACCCATATCTTCTAAGCACTAAGAGCTTTCTTCCAGTTTTCAGCTTAAATTTACTCAGGACCAGGTGGCACACATTTTTTTCTGGTGCCCGCATCTTTAAGATTAAATAACTGTTCTTCCTAAATGGTATTTCCCTCTCCTGCGTTTACAGGAGTCATCCTACTCTTCTTCCACTTGCTTTCCTAGCTTAAGCAAATCAAGATCTCCTGATATCATCGAGCATGTCCATCTCCCACGGTCCCAGCCATCCCTGTAGCTCTCCTCTCCAGTTATTCCAGGTGGAGTTCATCTTTCTTGTACGTGAATGATCAGCAGTGCAGCCATGCCAGATGAGCTGTACTCTGTTCAACAGCATTAACTCTTCCCTGCAGTTCCTGAAAACACTTTACCTGACACACTGCGGTACAGCACTTTCTTCTGCCCACATCACACTGATGGCTCCCAGCTGCTCTCTTGTGCGTCACTTTCGTTACTGTGGGTCGTCTTCCCCCTTCTCAGTTTTGGCCAACTGGAGAACACCCAGCTTATAGTTCTAAAATTCTTCCCCCTCTTCTAAATATCTTCTTGGTGATCTCAGCTTTCCATCCTTCAAGTAGCTTATCATAACAGGACAAGGATAGGGCTGTTTTTTCCCCAAGTAAACGAATACTTGGGCTGTTTATTCAAATACAAAAATTAATAGGAAGGGAAAAAAGTGACAACTAAATAGAAAGTTAAAGTTTAATCCAGTGCTTAAACAACATGAATACTCATGCTGCAGCTGTAGCAGAGGGCTGGCACTTAGACGCCTTATCACGATAAAAAATTCCTTCCACTAAGGCTTCAAATTACAAAATAACTTCATCTAAGGGAAGACAAAACGTACATATGCAGCCACTGCCATATGTTTATAGCACCTTCTCAGCACAGCAACATTTCTCTTATAGAACTAAGAACTTACTGGTATGAAAAATTAAGAATTTAAAGTGATATTTTAGAGCAATTTACAGTTAAATCAACAGTAGTGAGGAAGCAGCACACACATTTGACTTGCAGAATGAGAGGCGATTCATGACTTTCTTAGCAGCTTTTAATATTGATGAAACTTAAAGCCATCTCACTATTTGGGAATGACATACTTTGTTAGTATTGGTCTGGTTAGAAACTCAACAGGCTGGCTTATTCATCATTGCAATTTTTCAGTTAGAGGAAAAAATGAACGGAGGAAGAATGAAGCAGAAAGATGGCCAGCAGGTACAGTTTGAATTAACTTTTACCTGGGTGCAGAACTAACCTTCTTTCTAAAAATCACAAATTGCATCTCTATCAGGATATTTCTTACTCTAATTAAAGTGGGATTTTCCACCCTTTCCTTCACTAAAAAAGCTTTTTGGCTCAGACAGTTTTCTTCTGATGCAGAAATGCAAAAGTATTGGGAATCTTGCACATTTGTATAGCAAAGCTGTTGCCCACTTAGCTCTGTACTGTGAGGGTAGATATGCAATAGTCACGGTTACCTGCAAACAACCAGTTGTCCTCGCCCTACACCCTACAACAGATCACAGGTGAGCCACGACATGAGAAAAACATGCTCAATTACAACTTCCAGGCTGGATGAGCAAGGACACCACTAGTGGGCCTGCAGGTCAGAAGCCCACTGCTGGTACCACACATCAGGTTCTTGACACAATGACAGGTTATTGTTGGAATGCCAAAACTAAAGGGGAGACACGGCCTGTGTAGGACTTAAAAAAAGGAAGATTTTACTCTCCATATATTACATTTTCCAAAATTAAATGTAGTATCTAAAAAGCAATCAAGACAGGATTAACAACTACCAGCCAGTAAAACAGATTTCCTGGAATGATTCTGGAAACATAATCCCTGTCCTAACGAAGCTATCGGCCTTGAAGATGTAAGACAGTCAGTAGCATTTCAAAAGCAAATGTGTTTCTGAGGTGATTCTACTATATTTTAGTTCACCAGCTAGTATACAGCCTGGATTTTAAAAGGGGTTGTGCTGGATAGAAGAGTCAGAGTTGAAATGGACTATCACATGAAGCCAAGGAGAGAAGAACACAACAAAATACATTTAGCACGAACTGGTATATAGTTGACAAAACAGTAATCCATTTGACATGGCAGACTTGTCATGATTGGGATGCTGCTAATATCTCTGTTAGAAGATGTTGTTATTTTATGAGCTATTGTTATACTCCAGAAATAGCCAGCCTTTATTGGCATGAGGACTGGAGTGAGACCCCTATGAATTACCACACTCATTGACTCACTTTGCGTCTCTGTCCACTGCTCTGACAGGTGTTAAATCAAGATTTCTTGTAGTCAGAAACTCTACATTTGGATAGCCCAGCAGCAGCAGTGGGGGATGGCAGACAGGCAGACAAGGCCTATTACCTGTTCTTTGTGTTAAGTCAATAAACCTTTAAGGAGCATAGAAGTTAATCCTCTGACAGCAAAAGCAGAATGGGATGAAGGGCCCTTCAATTTTTCGAACTGGCCTCCCATATATCATAACTACACAGCATGAAAAACTATTTTGATCACATTTCACAGTTCCTTCATAGCTAGAAGGAATTTCATTACAGGAATTTTCATACCACTATACTGGCAAAAAGGTATACATACCTTTTTATCCCTTTACACTTGTTCCATAAAACCATTTTCCACCCTCCAGCTCACAATCTCTCTAAGCAGAAAACTCCTATCAGCCACACATTTGTCATAAACTATGTAGGATATGACAAAGCTTCAAATACATCAGTACTCATAAAACCAGAAACATTAAACCGCAAAAATATAAAAAAGAAAAAAGAGAAAAGAGTGGTGGGGCAAAAATTATATTCTACCTTGGCTGTTAGGTTCTTAAACTGCCTGTATTTAACATTAACGTGTCTGTATTTCAAGGTCATGATTGCAACAGTTCTGCTATTTGTGGATATCGGTGAGACATTATCTGTCTTTCACCAGTTCAGGCACTCCAGCTACACTTCTTCATATATTTGATTTTTAAATTTTTTTTTAATGTTTGAAAGGTTAGAATCTGCCCCTCCAAGGTACAATGGGCAAAAGAGTACATTTTAACTGAGATTACTCTTCTCTTGATTTAAACACAAAAAGATAGTTCCAGCAATACATTAAACCACAAGAACTTTAACAACTCCAACTTCATAGACACCCATAAATTATTTTTGTAAACAGCAAATTACTAAACATAGTACAATGCTCTATGAAAGAGAATGCACACAGTCAGTGTTTTCCTTTTTGACTAGAAAACAAAAACATTTAACAGCAGGTAAGCGAGAATTAAAAATCAATCAAACCTGGACCCCAAACGGGGTATGGGTTATGATGCCACGTATCTGGACTAGACTCTTGAAAGCAATCATACACTAAGGACAATTTTAGAAAGCTGTTATGCAAAGGTTCAACCAGAGTCGTGCCAACCTAATTTGGGACATGAAAGTTATTTGCCCTACAGTACCACGTGCAGCAAAGAAAACTGCTATCGCAGTTTGGTTTCAACACCACATCCTCAAACAACCTCAAACGAAACAAGAATGTTATGTCTGAGTAACACCGATGGAAGTATCACCTGCCATCCCGAAGTTAAGCTGTGGCATTTCTTCACTTTTAGTCATCTTCCTTGGGCTTGGTAGATCTTTTGCAGAATCTGATGTGAAGGCCCACAGCTTTTTCCTGTTGGTAACAGTGGATGTCTGGGTTTTCACAGGTTTGTTGGTTGTGGGGCACCATTTGTACCCAGGATTTGCCTTCATGAACGCATCTTTGTACTACAAAAGAAAAGGAAAATTACCAGTCATGACGTTACACTATCCGCAGGGCAACACAGTGCACTGCGTGTAAGAGGATTTAATAGAATAAATAATCCTTAAATATCTTGATTTTTTAAAAGTTTAATCATATGCTTGGAGTCTAACTGCCAACACAATCTATTAAGAAGAAACATTAATATAAGCAGAGCTATATTTAAGAGGAGGGTTTCTCCTTCCTCTCCTGAGGGCAGGCTGAAGTTCTGATACTGCAAACTCCTCCACAGTGCTTGTATACTGACTCTCTGGGAAACAGACAGCTACTAGAATTCTTTTGCAGGTACAATCTTTGTTTACTTTCTAGTTTGAATGAAATGAAAACATACATTTAGCAATAAATGCAGCATGATGCTCCTTACCTTGCACTCATTTTTCTCTAACAGTTGTATATTTCAGAATATTTGAGTATATGCTTTCCCAAACCAGGCACCAAAAATAAACCACTACCAGTATCACCTCATTATCAGGAACTTCTGATACATACCGCAGTGATTCTTCCAAAATGTACCATGCTGCATAGCTGAATAAACCAAACCGGGACCATTTAAAACTTTGTTTGGCCTTGAGCATGTAGCACACATATGAGCTGTTTGCTATAGTCTTGGTACAAGGCAGCAAAATGAACCAAGCCAGACTACACACAGGGAGCGGGGGGAAAAGGTCTGGATCCTAGAGAGTTTGCGGGGTAGGGGGAAGGACAGCGACCCATTTTCTTCACAAAATGCAACACTAACATTTTCCAAGTACCTTGCTGACCAGACCAAACCAAGATTTTTTGAATGTCAACAGCAATAAAGAGAAAACATTTCAGTGTTTTAAACGTGTTGCCACGCAAGGCAGAGAACCGCGAATCACAGAAACATGCCACGCATTCCAGCTGCCTGACAGCTGACTGGGGCACACAGCATGGGCTGCTCTGGGAGCCCACCCAGTAAGGACCAGTGCTGACCGCAGTGAGAAGGAACCCAACACCTCCTCATGCACTGGGGTAGCTCTTGATGGCAGCAAACAAGGAGCGTTTTCACCCTGAAGGACGTGGGAGGGCAGCTGCCGGAGGTTTCCTCCATGACTGCCCATGTTCCCGCTCAGCCAGCTGTCACCAGTCCCGGCTACGGCACAGAGAAGCACCTCTGTTTCATGCACACGCCTGCACTGAAACATGCGCAGAGGGCGAAGAAAAATCCCTTGGGTATCAAATACAGAAATCACACCAAAAACCTCGTCCTCTGGTAAGAGTCACTGCAGTGTTTTTCCAGATCAGTAAGCGGCATGCCTTATGCACCGTCGCACGTGTATCGCTTACTTTCACTTCCATCTTCATTTACCAGCTGGCACTTGCTACCTCCAGACTGTAGCACGGATAAAAACAATTCAGTTTACAAGAAGCACAGCACCATCTGAACCTGCTGTGTGAAGTCCTGTATTTATAGAAATGGCTATAAATAATAAAAATCTGCAGGGACCGCTGACCCACATACACACCGTATTTTCTGAACAGGGTGTAGGTATTAAATCTGCAAACTAAGGACTGCACCACCTCTCACCTCGCCCCTTTTCCCTTTCCCTCAGTTTGGTTTGGGAGCTCAGTACCCCATAAAAATAGCCTGGTGGAGGGGAGGCAGGGGGAGGGGGTAAAGGAAGAGGCGGAAAGGAAATACAGAGAGAAGCAGCTTTGCCTTCCGTTGTTAAAGCCACCGCCCACTCGGAAATCATGCTTCCCGCCAGCAGAGTGAAAAGCACGGAATCGCTAGCAACGAGGTACATAAGCTCTTCGTATCAGTACTGCTGCTTTGAGTAACTGAATTATTCTATGGAGTAATTTGACAAGCCGACAGGCTGTCCATCAAATAGGATCTAGAATGCGTGCCATTTGAGAGATGAGGCAACAATAAGCTTTCCATCAGTTTCCAATCAGAGCAATTCAAGTGAGGTGGCACATTAACAGATTTTTTTTCCCCTGCAAAGCCAAAAAGTGAACATTAACTGCACTCTTCAAAGTGGAGGGAGCAAACTGAGGGAGGACAACTCAGCGGCCCCTTTCACAGTTTCAACACTCAAGATAAACGAAAAAGAAATCTAGAAAGTTAAACAACGGCCAAGAAGTAGTTTTATAAAATGCATACAAGGGCCTGATCCAAATCTCAGAAAGACTTTCAGTATTGATTTTTGTGACTGTTAGACCAAGGCCTAAAATGAAATCATAGGTTCTGCTCACCAGGTCATGAGAAGATGACTTAAATGAGCTACACAGTAACAAGAAAATGCCAAAGGCAATAGCAGAGCTTACTGTTTTCCTCCACCCGACCAACCCTGCAGAAAACCAACTTAACACAGCCAGTATCAGGATGTCTCTGAAGTCGTTCGGAAAAAAAAAAAAAAAAAAAAGGAAAGGGGAATACAAAGACACCACCTTGCTTCCCATATGAGTCCCAGGGATGACCTGGCAGGGTCATGCCCCGAAGTTCCAGGTGAGGTAAAAAAAGCACAGGATACGTTTGTGGGATCAGTCTGATGTATCGTTTCTGTTTCGTGAAAGCCTAGGGAAGGATGCATTGATGCCGTGGGACTGGTGCCACTTTAGAGCTGAGATTATAAAAGGTGCTGCATTTCAGTGCAATTCCCCAAGTTGCTTTCATCACCAAATTAAAAAAGTGTTGCTTTCTCCAGTGCGGTGGGAACAGGAGCTCACATGTCGATTCCAGCTACACCTCAAGGTAGCAGTTAGCACATGCTTAACTTCAAATGCATGCTTAAATCCCACCAACCAGCTATTAAATGTCACATGAATTCCAGAGATGTAACAACAAAAAAACCTCCCAAAACAAAACAAGAAAATCCCCAGAAAATACTACACTCCATTTTGCGCTCCTGAGAGATGCAGGGTTCACACTACATGTTACAGTCCATACGTCACCCAGTGAGCTCGCCAGACTCTAGCCGGGAAGCCACAACATTCGTCCCCTGCTACCCTGAGGTGGTGACACGGTGGGGACAGCCAGCGGC